CAATATTCATTTAGCTTCCAGCAGAACAAAACCAGGTTTCAGCCTTTAAATCAGGTACAAACATGACACAACGACGCTGCGGCGTTTCATCCGTCACTTTGGATCTTTGTAATATCTCTGGACGCATCTAAGGCGTGTTATTTCCCCTTCTTTCTTTCTTTTATATGTTTTATCCTGTTTTATGCTTCTTGTTCTCTCTGGATGTGCTCCTGTTACACCTGCACCTCTACGTCTCATCGCACATCATCATCGTAGCCCTGAACAGGGAAATAAGTTGGATTTTTCCTGCTTGTTTCCTCAGATAAGTCACCCGGTGACTGATGACAAACAGCTGCAGGGTTTAAGTAAAAACAACCGGAGAATCAGCAGATTCTGAACTAGACAACAGCAACACGTAACACTCTCTTTATTTATTAAACACAATAAATCCTCCAGCAGCGAGGGTTTCTGTGTGTCTCCCACTGTGGAGGATCTGTGGGCCACTCTCCTTCACAGCGTTGCTTCAGCTCGTTGAGGTTTCACACAGCCATGCACAGAGAGCTGTGCATGGCTGTGTGTGGATCTGTGACCTGCTGATGACCCAGTTTGGTCCAGCTGTGGGACTGATGTCCGCACCCTGACTCTGAACACTTTGGTTCATCACCGCTGCATGTGTTAGTTTTTTGATTTTGAACAAACTCTTTGGTCTCGCTTTGTTCCAGAAGTCTTTGATCAGCTGTAGCTTTGCAAACTTTGACCTTTGACCTGCTAACTGAGGGCTATAGAGGTGGAGCTGTTGGGACCTCAGGTGAAAGGTGTCGTTGTGTTAACACATCTGAATGCTGCAGAGCTACAAACCTCTGAGTCGATCACGCTCCTGTTTACCCAACAGCTCAGTGTTTCTTCACTTTGGTTCTGTTTTGGTTGAATAAATAATCAAAGAGATTTTTATTATGTCCTGATATGTAAAACATTAACACACCATTGCTAATTATTAAATAACAGAAATTAATTTTTAACATATTTTTTGTGAAGTAAAGAAATTTGTCTTTTTTTTTGTTTGTTTACTTTTTCTTTAATTTTGTGAAATTTGTTTGTCAGAGTCAGAAAAACTCTTCAGCTGATGTTTGTGTGGTTAAAGCTCGTCTTTATCAAAGCTTCACATTAATCCTGTTAGCCTCACAAAAGCTCTAAAAATCCACCAGTGGCTGAAATGTTGCTCCATCAGTGCACATATAATCCACCAAATCTGCATTAATCCGCAGCTGAAAGTAGTTCCATGTAAACACACTGTTTCCTCCCATATTAGCGAGCTGTTTCTTATTTTAATGAATCAGACTGAACCTCTGTGAGCTGTTTTACAGCTTCACGTGTTCGGGTGAAACAGTCTTCATCACGTCTCTCTCCCTGTCTCTGCTGCAGCAGGTGCCAGAAGCTGCAGAGATGAAGACAATCCCTCAGAGACAGAAGGCACGTCTGTCCATCTGTCTGTTTGTCCTCATATCCACCCGCGCTCACTTTTACGGCTTCATTTCATTCATGCTCATAAAGATAACCTGGGGAAGTCCAACCTTCAGCAGGTGTGAGAGCCTGATCGAAGTTTCATCACCCGGCTCAGCTGAGAACAAACTGTACTTAAAAGATGGAAATGACCACTGTGATTGTTACAGACTGTATATAAAAGATGGACGTGATCAGCGTGGTTTTCACATGTTGGAATAAGGGCGGAGTGCTAATGCTAGCAGCTAGCTGTGGTGGTTCTACAGTGTGATGATGATCACGTCTGCGTTACACGCAGGAGGACCATGTGACAAACACGCTGACGAGTTTATCTTAGCTGCACTCGGGTTTGTTTCCTGGAGTGGCAGCACAAAACAAAAGCTAGCCGGGTGCAGTGATGGCGGCTGTGGTCGACCGCGGTGAACGCTGAGGCTGTGAGCTCCTCGTTGTGTCTCAGTGATTGTTTTGAATAAACGTCCTGCTCAGCGTCATCCCTCCTGTGGTCGCCTGCATGTCTGCATCATTCCACTTCATGCATCTGTGTTCATGTTTAAGCTTTTTCACTGTAAGTCCATCTCATGGATATTTTTTATGTTCATGACTTCAAACATAAAAACAGCACATTTACATAAGTAAAGTCAGTCAGTGATGAAAGGACAGCTTTGATTCCTCGTGTGTCCAACACATGTTTGACGTCTCCGTCTTTCTGTTTCAGGACGACTACATTCCTTATCCGAGGATCGAGGAGGTGAGACCGATGTTAACACAGCTCAAAACACAAAGCTGAACATTACTGCTAATTGTTTTTTTCAAAAAGGAGGCGTAACAGGAAGTCAGATCAGGGGTGCATCAGCCAATAAGAGGAGAGGAAAGTTTTATTATAGTAATTTTGTTCATACTGACAGCAGCTAACAATCTTGGGGGGGGGGGGGGGAAAGACTAGATTCTCCACTGGACCGCCTCCATATGACTCAAACTCTCACTTTCCTCTGATTTGCCGGCTGCAGGAAGCCTGCTGAGGGGTGAGGTGTGTGCTTTTGTTTCACACCTGTCTGAATGTGTGTTGCAGGTGTTGGAGAGGGGGGGGCCGTACCCTCAGGTGATCCTACCTGAGTTTGGAGGCTACTGGATCGAGGATCCTGATGCTCCTCCTCCCTCTGCAGACTGCAGGGGGAAGGAGGAGGTGGAGGAGGAAGGAAGACAAGAGGAAGAGACCGCCCCAGGGGATTATGGGTACCATCTGGAGGAGATCAACGAGGCTGCTCGGGCGTACAGGAAGCACTTCTTGGGCAGGGTGAGGTTTGATTAAATCCATCTTCATCCTTTGCTGTCACCTGATTGGTTGACGTCCTTCTCTTTTGTTGTCAGGAGCATTTAAACTTCTCGTGCTCATCGAGCAGCGTGGGAAACCTGCTGCTGTCTGTGAGACACGAGCAGGAGAAGGAGCACGAGCACCTCCTCGTCATCATCAGGTAACATGACAGGCTTTCATGGCAAGGGACTACAGACTGTAAAGAAAAGATGGGAAACCCTGCTTTCTTTCTAATGTTCAATCAATCAGAACTTTATTCATCACATGCAAGTTGCCCTGCAGTGAAATGGGTCTGGGCCCAGACCTGCCGTGTCCTCCAGGAGGGAACAAGGATCGAAGGCGTTTGGAAAGGGAGGAGGGATGAGTGCTTATCAGTGTGGGCGTGTCCAGAGTTCAGCTGAGACAGTGTCCTTCGCCCTGCCAGGCTAAGTAAACAGTCTAACAGCCAACCCAGGTGGCCTTGCATGGAATGGGAAGAACAGACTAAACACAGTCGTTATCAGGGTGTGTTGTTCAGCTCCAGCCTTGAGACCGCAGCTGGCGCCGAAGGGATAGCCGCATGATGATGGTGGTTTTTACTTTAGTGCGAACAACTCATGAGAATTTCAAAGCAGTTCTAACAGTCCAACACTGGTCTCTCAATCTCCTGTTGGAGAGCCGTGAGCTTCTCCATGATGTTACCAAACTTACGCTCCGTGATGTTGTCAGTCTTGTGCTCAAAGAGCCGATTCTGAGAACTCACGATCACAGTGAGCTGCTCCAAGATGTGATCCAATGTACGCTCAGAGGTCTTATTCTGAGTGTTGACGGCAGCCGTAAGCTTCTCCAAGGTCTTAACCATGCTGCACTCAGTGAGCCCATGTTGAGAAGCTGCACCTCGTCCCATCGTTTCAATCCCAGCGGGCAGCCTTGGGGGGGTTTGAACAGCCGGTTCCGCTTTCTTAATTCTCCAATAAGCCAGGGCCAAGCCAGCTCCGATCAGCCAGAACCCTGTTATCATGGTTCATAGGTAGATATCTTCAGCGTCCTCGATCGACAGTCCCGCCAGGCACACGATCCTCTGCCACCCGTCCATCGTGTATCCGGCAGGGAAAGTCCCTCCAGGGCACTCGGGCTCTCCCGAGCCCAGACTTCTCGTTGAGAAAAGGGTGTCAATAGCATTCAGAGACCAGTTGATCAAATCCATAATTCTCTTTAGGTTTTAGAAACAGACTGTGAGAGAGTGTTCCAGGGAAAGTAAAACACACGAGACAAGACAAGGACACAAGAGGCTAAGCAGGGAAGATAAGGGAGAGGAGAAAAGTACAACCGCCTTCGCCAAGAGCCAGCCGTCACAATCAATGTTTGAGTCCATGGTGGATGGGAAAAGAACAAATGAAAGGAACCTTCAAAATTAAACAGGAAATAATCTCACACAGACAAAATGAAAAGGGAACAGAGATCATCATGGAGGCCATGACTGGTGTGTTTACCCCAAACAGCTCTGTCCTCTGAGTTTAAGCTCTCTGATGATGAACATGAGCTGATAAAAGCCCAAATGAGCTCAGTGTGAGCTAAAATAAATCAGGTCCTAAAACCAGAGTTTGACTCAGTCCACCTACGAGGCTGCTGCTCTCAGATGAGTCAGATCCCGTGTGGAGCAGATCTTCTATAAATTGACCACACTACCCGAAGAAGAACAGCAGCCGACTGAAGTCTGTATGAGCAGGCAGCTGGGACCGATGGCCAACCACCTCGAGTTCAATTTAATTAAGATTTCACGTTGAAATAGTTCTTTGTTAATGCACCCTTCACAAAGTCAGCCACCTCTCCTCTTGAGTCTTCAGGACTGCTCTCTAAGATCTAAAGTGCTCGAGTCAAAGGAAGCTCTTTGGGTCATTAAGGTCACACAGGAGGCAGGTGATAGGGTGGGGCTCATAAACATGTCAGGATCTCGACTTTTGGCACTGATGGCTCATATAAGCTACTACAAATATCTCGCCCTACTTGAGTCGGCTCATGGCAGGTGTTCGGTAGGCCAGGTGTTACCCAGATATTACGATACACCTGACATCTGGCCCAGATGTGGTGGAGCTCTGGCTGAGTAGAGGGAGCAAGACTTGAGTCATCTCCCTCGGTCAAGGCCGATTATGGTCCAAAGAAAACTGCAGATGTGGTCCACACGTGGGTCAAACCTTTATCGCTACCTGGTGTCCAGGTGTGACTCGGTTGAGCCTGAGAGATTATTCCAGCTGTGGATCGGACTGCTCCTCCTCACGTTTTCTTGTGAGCAAATATTTGTGTTTTGTGGTTTCGAGTGCCTGTGTTCACACAAGTCTGTGTCACAAACTGTCAATGAGTCAGTGTGAGGACAGAACAAGTATTTAGTTACTTATTCTTGGAGTTAAGTTTTGGTTTCTGGTGCGTCTCTCCTGTTTCATTAGATCTCGGGTGAAAAGCGTCTACCACAGATTATCTCTGGCAGAGCTGCCGGACATCCCAAGTGTACCAGAGCTGGCCAAGGTAAGCACCAGCATCTCAGACTGGTTCCATAGTGTAGCGGTCATCACAGCTGCTTTACATGCTGTACCGAGTTCGAGCCCAAATGGGTCCATGATGTCCTCTATGGTTGAACTCACCCACTTTGGTAGAGGCTGAGACTTTTGAAGGCTCAGCGTCGTTCTAACTGTAACCTCGATGTTTGTCATTGCGAAGCTGCTGTGCGACGAAGCGGCAGGTCTACGGTTCAGTCCCGTCCTGTACCCAAAGGTAGGCTCCCACACCGTCAGCACACCTGGGTTTCTGTTCCGTGTCAGAGGAGATGATGCACGTCTGTCTTTGTCTGCAGGCATCTCAGCTAATAGTGAACTATGATGAGCATGAGGTGAACAACACCTACAAGTTTGGAGTCATTTACCAGAGATTTGGTCAGGTACCTCACCACCTGCTCACGCTTTGTGTCCACTCGGTGTTTTTGTTTCCATCTTCCTTCTTTATTCCCACTAGTGGACTGATTTCTAACCGAAGCACGTAGGTTTGTTGATGTTAGTGATCAGTGCACTCCATTAGCTGTTACTGTTTTCCACGGGCTTTACTAAATACTCTGCAACTATCGTATGGACGAAATGAGCTGATTTAGAGGTCCTGGGTGATTTTACATGGTATGACGAAATATATATAAGCTGTAAGCACTCCAGAGGACACTGCAGACCAACCCAAGAAGCTCATAAAGATGTTCGCTCATTCTTAGCGTTGCCTTGTGAAAGAATTTGTATTGTGTTCCAGTATTTTGTTTTGGAGTGCTGGGTCACTGGTACGGCCTGGTTGATGTTATTGATCCTGCTGATTATATCAGCCCTTCGTCTGCTGTAAAACCTGTTTCAGCAAATGTTTTCAAACTATGAAAAACACATTAGCCAACATGATTTTTAAAATAATAATCTCAGTGTAGTCCGTCTTTTGTTCTTTGGCATCATTAATAAGCACTTCACATCTGAGAGTAGTTCACCTTCTGTGATGAGTGTATCGGTCGTAGCTGACATGTCACCTGTCCCTCAGGTGTCTGAGGAGGAGCTGTTCAGGAACAACGAGGAAACGCCGGCTTTCACAGAGTTCCTGCAGCTGCTGGGAGAGACAGTGGATCTGCAGGACTTCAAAGGGTGAGAGACGAGACAAAACTGCAAATCATCACGTTCAATCAGTTATTTCTATCAGTAACATGTCAGTTGATACCAAAGCAGATCCTTTAGTAGCAACTAGGGCTGCCACAAACGATTATTTTGATAGTCGACTAATCAGATCATCATCCATTGGACGTAAAACATACAGCTGACTGCACCAGCAGTCTTATATAACTATCATTAGCTTACAGCTTTAAGTGTTTGTGCTAACTAAAAATAAAGACAAGATGGTAGTTTATTAAATTTTAATGACATTTGCAGATTGTTTGGGTGAAGTTTAATAAACTCCTTGCTATCTAAAATATAACAGGACACCGGAGTAAATTCTGGAGCATCTCACACTTCTGATAATCAGCTGTCTGCTTGATGTTTATTCAGCTGTGTAAAAACTATAACTTTAATCTCAGCCAAACCGAT